GTTATCTCACACTATCACTTATAGACTTTGTATTCAAATTTTAACATCAAAATCTTTTTTATTTCTTTTGCTTCAAAATCAATTCCCTTGCACAACGTTTTGCTCACTCCTTCATTTTTATATTTATAAAAGGCATAATAAACAAAGGCCTCAAATCCATTTGTTCAAAAAGCTTGACAATTAATTTCTTCCTATACTTCTTTATCCCAATATAGTGGTTTTTAATTTTATCAATTTTGAGATGGATTTTATCAATTTTAAGAATTCTTCATCAAAAGACAATTGATGGAAAACAATTAACCAAACTTATTTACAAAGAAAGTTTCCATCTTCATGGTCTCAAACGATATTACTAATGATTAAAGGCCTTACTTTGTGTCTATCTCTTCAAATCCTTTCTCAAACTTATGCCTCCTCAATTGCTAAGCACTACACTAAGGTGGATATGTTTAAAATGGAAGAAATATACTAACTTATTTCACAATCTTTCTTTCATAATCTCTATTAAATAGAACTTCATTTGAAATAAGAAACTGCAGATTTAAAAATCATGAAGTACTTTTCCAAAAAATCCTTCCCACTAATCTCACAACAATGGGAACACGTCTCTATACTTCCAGCTTAAAGTTTTTAAAGTTTTTTTTGTTCCTCAACAATAATAAAAAAATACATTGTTATACTTAGATCATCATGAGACAAAACAGGGGCAAAGAATGAGGATAGTTAGCCCAATACTGACTTGAGTGGAAGGCATATAACAAGGTGCGCCAAGACACTCACTTTTTGATTCAGTTTTTACAGCAGCAACACAAAAAGTCGAGCGTGCAGAATCTTTACTGGCACCCCAGTTCTTAAACATATTGGAACCAGGACGTCCACTGGTCAGATGACCTTCATGAGTTATTAGTGCAAGCAAGGTACTAGCGACTGTAACCCTCAGAAGTTTCTAAGGGGGCCTCTCTCCCCTGCGCACAGCAAGTGGACGAGTTTTTTAAAGCCTGGAATTGGCAGGGTATTGCCTGCTTGAGCAGAAAAAAGCAGAGGAAAACAAATAGAACTCTCTATGGCTTACCAAATTCTTGGAGTCACGCTGATGGATTCAGCTGCACGGCCTTGGACACATCCAGCGACGAAACACGACATGTACCAAGTAGCATCTCTGGAAGATCCTCTTCGGTGTTCGCCTGCACAAATTTGGTGTTGTTTTTACATTTGTTGGTCAAGGAATTCTGCCTTGAAGAAGAGTACCTGTATCAAAAAGGCCATCTCCACAACCAGCTTGCTCATGTAACCAAACACCAGGCTCACTACACCCCGAGCAACAGATGAAGCACCCACATCCACGTCCAGCTGCAAAAGAAATTACCAAGGCTTTTACAGGCATAGAAAAACTAACTATTACCTACCTCTAGGTAGTTTTTCCCATGAAAGTAGTGTAGATCTAACGCCTCTCCAATGAGACAGGCGGTTTTTCCAACGCTCTGCTTGACAATCCAAGAGCCCTGTGAACGACACATTAAGTTTTGCAAAGGCTGGAGAGAGCACTTATACCTCTGCTACATGAGGGATGAGCTTAAAAGTTGAGCTACGAAATCTGTCACCTCCGTTCACAAACTTTTCCAGCAAGGGAATCTGATCGAGCGACTGTTTCAGCATGTAGTAAAAGACCAGGGAGTACGTCGTGGAGCCGGGGACCTGCGTCGAGAGAATCAGAATGGAGAGAGCTATGTAATATAGAAAGCACAAAACCTGAAGATTAACAATGAAGAAAAACGACCTGGCAAGCTTTCGGACTTTAGGCTTCTGCAAAGTTGATAAAGCTCAAAAGTGGCCAAAAAGATTTATGGACCACTACGCACCTGCATAAAAGTATTTTCCCGAGAGGCAATGTGGTCTTCCCGTTGGTTGGATGTAAACCAGTCGACTGCAACCAGCTGCATTAGCGTTTCCTTGGCCTTTACCTTCTTATTATCCCGTAAATAATTCTTTCCACGAATCAGGAAAGTGGACGGATCAGCCGCACTCCAGCTGCAGTAAAAAGACGACTTTGGAAGTGTGCCTTCGCGATCTAGTAATTCGGCGTCTCGCGAGGAGAACTCTGTTTGAGGTTGAGCTCCCTTTTTGTGAGCTGCGTTAAAATAGGTTTACCAGGTAATAAAAAATAAAAAATGATCGATGTTACCTGCTGCTGCAAGGGCATGTATGCGCTTGACAAAACTTGCGGTCTTTGAAAACTTGGGAAGCTATAATAAAAACAGGCAGGAGATATTACCTCGGCAAAAAGAAGGATACTTCCTACCGATTTAGTCTCAGGCTCAAATTCTTCGGTGCCTTCGGTCTCACTTACGGACCGCAGCATGTCATCGGGCAAATCTTCCTGATCGGAGTCGTCCGGAGCGTCAAAAAACTCGTCCGTGTCGTTCACCCGAAGGAATGACTCTTGCTCGTCGATATGGGCACTCTTTGGTTCCTGATCGCTGACGACGATCGCTCGTTCTTCATTTTCTTCCTTTTCTTCCTTGGCTGCTTGATCGTCGAATTCCCCAGAGGCATCCACCCACGTCGGCTCAATTACTTTCGCTTTATACAGTTCCCTCAAGCCTGAAAGTTGAAAACGTCAGGATATCAGATTTTAACTAGAGAACATCACTGATACCAGCAATCCTCTCGAGCATGCGAAGCGTAATTTTCTGAACACGAGAAGGTTTGAAATGAGATTTCCAGGTGTTCCAATCAATTTCCAACATGTGCCTGACAAGTGACCGTGCAGGTTGCTCTCCTTCACCGGTCAGAGGGGATATTACATAGCCGCCACCTGCATGCACCAAAAACTAAACCGACTGTAGAAAAGTGTCGAATGTCGGCTCACTTTTTAAATTGGCCCGCACTGTTCCTGATCGTGTAGGGCAGTCCTTGCGGCTCACTGAACGATACAAAATTACTGCGAAAACGAGGCAAGGACAGAGTATAGGATCCATGGTCAGAATAATTATCAAAAGCTTACCATATGAACCATCATATTCACGGCGCCAATATCTATGAAATAACAAATCTCGCCCGCGCATGTGTCTAAACTCGAAGGCATTATATTATACCAACAATGCAGCGACAAACTTACCCGGGGAGCCATTTTCTACGCAGCTGCTTGTGAACGATATCTGTATGACCATCTATGCGCTCCACAATTCGTCCCGTTGAGTAGCAAAAGTCCCACCTGAGGATACGCACACTGTTGGGTCTGCAATCGCAAACACACACGTCTTACTCTGAGCGTGAATCTCCCAACGCCATAACGGTATCGAAAACGGACTCACAAGGTGCCTTTACAACTCCAACAGCCATAATCGCGGGATGGTCATCTGCAAACTGCACTCTATTGTTGAGCAAAGGCAGCAAGACTGCTGAATCTGCTGATCAAATATTGCTGGTACCTTACTTGTAAATCTCCCCTTCGATTTCGAGGACTCCCGGAATAACCTCAGGCCTGGTACATGGTTATCAGAACGTCCTCGGGAAGAAGTAAAGCCACTCACCATTCTTACAGCCAAGAATTTTCCAAGGCGATTCTGCAATGACGTCTCCTTGCTCCCTCATGGAAGTCCAAAAGCCAGTCCAATCAGGAACTTCTGTAGAGAAAGTATAAAGAGTTACGTTAAACTGTCTTAGAGCATATCAATTACCTTGGCCTCCCTCTCGCCCTCGTTCAAAAAATCTGGGAAAGAGCCAGAATTTCGCATTAAAAATGTAACAAGCTGGCAGAAGAAATGGACAGGACGCACCTAAAATATGGCTTTCTTTTCGGAACTGCCAAGTTTTGCCTGAGGGGAGCTTGGCTCTAGGACAAAGGTCGGCATGTCTGTTAGTAAAACCGCAACGCGAGTCCATTTTCACCTTACACTTGCAGCGTCCCTAAAAGCGGACATCCATTTTGCTGCTTCTTCAGCAGTCCGTGCCGCGAGCTATAGCAAAGCATCTCATAAGCAAGTTCACAACCAACAAAGAACGAAGAACGAAAGAAAGAGGGACTCTCAAACCTTCATTTGTTGTTGATCAAAGTTTGGATCGGAGAGAGTGAAGGTATGCAAAACCTGTGCAAAATTCTTCCTCAGCCCAGCAGCAATGCAAGAGGAGAGAATAAAGGAAAGCTCTCAATCACCTGGCCATGGATATTCTCCCTTCCATTGTCAACGACTTTAGTGTATGGCTGAATAACGCCCTTTTTCAAAGATTGCTGTAGAACAAGAACAATGCATCATCACAAGAACAAACTCACAAAACATTAATCAATCCAAGAGATAGAGAGAGAAGAGGAAATTTTACCTTCTCGCCATCGTGGATGGGCTTGGATTTGTAACAAGTAGCCTGGCGGCCCTCGAGAACGAAGTAGCGCTTCCTGGGGAAGCGGATCCTGAGCCTGTGAGGTTGGATTACATAGAGCCAGCCCTCAATTTTGGTAGAATCCATCGCCGCTCTCTCCCTCGATCCTTCTTGATCCTCTCGATCCTCGCCGCGCCAAGGGCAAAGCGCTGGCGCACCGACACGAGAGCTACACTACCTAGAGCTGGAATACCGCGTGAGGCGCTCCGCGAAATCTTTCTCGCCCGCCTCCATCGCCCGGGAGGGTTTTTTAGTCGTCGTAGGCGCAAGCTCGAGTCAGCAGCGAATCGAACTTTCAACGTGTCAAAAGAAGAAAAAGCCTAAAGGTGGCCAAAATTAAAATTAGAAAATAGGGACGCCGTTGCCGGGGATCGAACCCGGGTCGTCCGCGTGACAGGCGGAAATACTTACCACTATACTACAACGACTGGTCATGCTAGTTAGCCTACGTTGCAAGTCACTTTTCTGACCTATAGTCGTAAAAGAGACCTCCATTCCTTCGGATCAAAAGTCCTGGCTGTAAAGAAAGTTCTATAGTGTTTGGCATATCGTGAAGTCTATCACGAAATGTTTTAGTGAGGAAACTTCTTTGCAAACATTTTCTTGACCTATGTTCTTCTTGATAGCACACACTCACCATTCTATTCATCCCCAAGAACTTAGGTGCAATGTTAAATAGAAGAGTACTTAATTCGTGAACAACAATGGCCGCATCATCTCATTGTCCTCGTGCTCCAGGAGATGACAATGCCACACATACCCAGGAGATATAGTCGGGTCAAACGCGAACCGGGTCGCCTCGCGCGGGCGGAAGGGCACGAAGAATCGTGTCACGAGGTTCGCCCTCACCAGCGCCGTGTCCTTCCATCCAAAGTGATCCACGTCCGGCGGCAGAGGATTCCCTGTGAAGCAGCTCGTCGGATCGAGAAACGGAGTATTGACGCTACACGCCCCCCGAATGAAGTTCGCCACATCGTAGTTCTGCTGATCCAGCGCGAAGAAATTGATCAAGTGGATGTGTATCGGGTGATCCCCGTTGGTAAAGGTGTTGACGAACTCCCAGATCTCGTTCGTGTAGAGCGGCACGATCTCGGTCACCGGGCTGCGGAACGTGCGGTTGGCGTCCGAGAAGATCGTCCCCACCGTGGGGTTGAAGCTGATCACGAACTGGCGGCGGCGGACGCCGGTCACGTTGGCGGCAGAGATGTTGAAGCCGGTGGTGGCGAGGATCGTCTCCGCAACCGTGAGGTTGGCCATGGCCGGATCGATCGTGTTAGATGGGAGCATTGCGTTGGACGGCGGGAAGCTTGTGACACGAAACATGAACACCGACTGGTTGTTTCCATTGCCCGCCTCGAAGCCGGAGGTGGCGGTGTTTCTGATGGTTACGTTCTCTCCCACTCGCAAGCTCGAGAAATCGATCAGGACGTCGGCTCGCTCGGATGGACCCAGGTTGAGCGTCGGCTGCCGGACTGGAGTGGTCAGCAGCCCGCCATCGGATCCAATCTTGAAGAAGGCGAGGCTGGGGTGATCCAAGTTGAGGATGAAGAAGCGCGAGTTCCCAGCGTTGAGGAAGCGGAAGCGATGGACGCCCCGCGAGACGTTCAAGTATGGCCAGATCATGCCATTGACGAGCATGGTGTCGCCAAAGTAGTCCGGGCACCAGTTTGGATGGACAGAGACTGTGAATGACCATCCCAGGGTGGGATAATTGATGCTGCCGTTGGGGAAGAACTGGCGATCCTGGAGGACCAAGTCGTGGATGAATGGGTTCTGGCTGCCATCGCTGTTCTCCCTGAGCGATCCCGGGAGCCAGGAGGGATCATCGTTTCCGATGATGTGATAGAGTCCCGCGAGGCCAGCGGCGACGCTCAAGCGCGTGTAGCCGAAGGAGTGATCGTGGTACCAGAGCAGAGTGGAGGGCTGCGCATTGTCGTACCGGAAGACGTTGGTGGTGAAATTCGGGCCTCGCTCGCCACCATTTGTGATCCAGGCATCCGGGTGGCCGTCGTAGGGGGGCGCGGTCTCTCCTCCGTGGAGATGGACGACGAGTGGAACTCCAACTCGGGGCTGGGCGCGGTCCAGCGTGGGATCGACCGCGAGCAAGTGATTGGCATCGGTGATGTTGTTCGACCAGCGCACGAAAGCTCGCTTGTTCTTGAATGCTACGAGGGTTGGGCCTGGCACCGAGGCTTGCGCGGAGGTTCTACCAAAAGCGTACACGGTTGTGGGTGGTAAATCCCTGTGGAGTTTCTGGAAAATAGAAAAGAAAGAAAGAACTTTCATGACGATTTGTGGCATAGTTTTTTACCCTCTGGACTTTGAATGCGCGGATGATGAGTGGCCTTGAGCTGCTTGTTCTGGTGAGATTGATTCTTCGCATAACTGGAACATGATCAACGAATCTTTCCAAAACAGGGGAGGCATCCAAGTTGAGGCACTGCTGCGTTGCATTCTGGGCTCCTGTGATTGCAAAGATGCAAGCTGCTACAACCGCAAGCAACACCAGTTTTTGGACCGCCATCCCAATCCACAGAACAGAAAGAATGTGATCCTTGAATTTTAGGCTAGAGGATCCACGGTGGTTCATAGAATAAATCACTGAGAGTTACAGTCCTTTTGCGACTTGGTCCTCAAGGTTACGTGGAAGACACATGGTGTTTGAAAATGACGAGATAGCTTGCAATTTTTGAAAAGTTAAGAAATATGAACAAAGACTTCTTGGCAAGATGCCAGCTCTAGATAGACAGATAGAAATCGTGTGTAATAGTGGGGCATAGGAGTTGCAGAGGCGGTGAAATGGATGGAAGGCCCGGGGAGTTAGGTGAAGTGGATGGAAGGCCCGGGGAGTTAGCAGCAAGGAAGCGTCCTTCTTGCGGCCTATAGTTATGCGGCCGCAGCACTGTTAATTTCAAGTGCTAGGAAGGTGCTAGTGACTTTATAAAAGGAGTTAGAAGCAGACACACAAACAACAATAACAAGCTTCCAAACTGATTAATCATAATAGTTTTGTGCCTGAGTACGTAACCAACATTCTGAACTTGTTTTATAAAGTGTTTTGATGTTTTGTGTGTGTGTGAACGTAGCTATTTTCAACGCGTGCTCGAACTGGCACGATTGAAAAGATAAATCTATCAGAATGGGATTCAGCTAGAGAAGAAGGAGTTCCCAGGTAGGGCGAGCACGTTCCCGCCCAGAACGGGCGAGCTGGGCATTAGCCTGGCGAGCGTTCTGGAGGGAATGTGCGAGCCCGTGCCCGGGAACAACCTTAATGGGCTGTGGCAATACCGTTAATGGACATGTGGAAGAATGTTATTCAAAGATAAAAGGGTTCTCCAAAATTGGCAGCTGGTAGCCTGGTTCTCTAGAACCTGGCAGTTGGCAGTTAGGTTCTGGAGAACCTAGCAGTTGTCAGCCACGTTCTCGTAGAGAACTTGACTCAATCCAACAGCTGCCAACAGTTGGATCAAATTAACGGGCGAGCCACAGCCCGTTAAGGAGAAATCTAGCCACAATCAGCTGTGCTTACGACTACGCAGAAAATTCCCTAGTGGAATGGGAATTGTGGAAGATGTGATAAAAAGTTTCAAGGGAGTTGAGATATTCTCGCTTATGCTTAAGGGCTATAAAGAAAACTTGCTGGAGCAAATCCACAAATACAATCCAATAAAGTAAGGTCAAAACAGAGGGAGCTGTTGATGTTTTCATGCATAGGGGAGGAAGGTTTTCATTGCGACGTTCGGGGTGCTTGCATTGACGTGGGAGAGACATAAGTTGGACATGTAGTGAATGGTAAGGTAGTAAACACTGCAACTAGGAAGAGAGAATGAGAGAAAGAGCCGATAAAAAGCGGAGCAGTGTGGTTCCTCCAGAGAAGAAGGATGGAAGATGACAAACCACAGTACTCTTAGAGCACTAAAGAATCTAACTCGCCATAGAGCTCTTCAAGCGTATGGAAGCCAAAGGCTTTGTGGCATCGATCCAACAGGACTAAGAAAACTTACATCCTTGTTTGTTCTTGAAGAACATTTCAACTCCACCATGCAAGCTCCTGGAAACTTGTGCATGGATCCTGGCCTTCAGAAAACAATACTTCCACAAGCACCAGATAGTTCTTGCTATTGCATGTTGCTTTTGGTTCCAGCACCCAAAGCTGTAATTATTTAGCAATATGCATTGATAATATATAATAATAAACTGAGTTTCAAATAAATAATGTGCTGCACTAGGTTTGTCTTTTAATGTATATTGTAATATACTTCTTAGCATACGTGTGTAACAACAAATGAGGTGCTTATTTAGATTGCATTGATGCGTAACCATTAGGTCATCAAACTTGGACAGGGCCTAAACTTTCATGCCCTCTCTGTTAATGATGTTATTTTGAGAAGTTTACATGACTTTATTTAACATGTTAGTGTGAATCCTTTTAACTTGGAGGATAATATCAATTTTTAAAATGTGGGAATTTACTCTTGAAGTTCCAGTTATATGCTTTTCCCCACCTTTTAACATGCATGCAAAAAATAAAAATTACATGAATTTAAGAATGTGAGAATATTCTAGAATGTACTTAGATATTTTAGGTATATTCTCTACATGCAAGTAATGTACAAAATATGTAAAATGCTGAAATGCAAAAAACTAAAAACAATATTAAATTTTTTTCCTTATATAAATGTAACATATTTTCAAAAAATTAATTTTATGGCAAATAAATATACTATAATAAGTGTTTGAACAGGAAATACTATATTTTAAAGTTATAAGTTAAATATTTTTAATATGATATGTTTTAACACTTGTTAAGAATGTAATATATTTATTTATTTTATGAAAAATTATATAGTAAAACATATACTAAAATAAGTGCTTGAATCAAGTGTATTAAGAAACATAAAACTATTTACAATTAATTAAATAATAATTATATAGTAAAGAATAATGTTATAATGAGTATTTGAACATATAATATCAAATTTTATAAGAAATATAAAATTATTTAAAATAATTTAAAAAATATTTTTAAAATTTAATATTAAAGATATTTACATCCAACTCTAGTCCAGCATCCATCAAAATTGTTAAATTTTAACAGCTTTGAATGAATAAAATTTAGAAATATGTTTGAATTAATTATTAAAATAGAATTTTCTATTTTAATTTATTATCATTTACAAAAATCAAGTTCAAATTCAAATTTTATAATATGAATCATAATTATCAACACCTTTTATAATTTATTATATAAATTAGTTTTATTTTATTTATATTGTCTAATTATATTAAATTATTCTTCTAAATATGATAAATTCATTAAGAAATTAGAAATTTGTATTAATTTTATTATGTATATTATAGTTTTATTTACTTAAAATAACTGCTATATTTAAAAATTCAAAAATCCTGAAAACTTCAACCAATAAAGAACGTTTTAGTAGTTTATAGTTTTTATTTCATTTTGATATCAATTAAATGGTTTCACATTTCAACTATTCACAATTCCAAAAATGAAATAATTTGAAACACTATACAAGAACACTTTGTTTTTTTTGGTTCTTTTTATTAAAATGAGTAATTCATAATTCATATCTATTTGCTCAATCACAAATTTAGCCTAGAAAAACAATTGGAAACTGGAGTTTACAAAACTAAAATGTAAATCTTGTCAAGCTAGCTTTACTATTGGGCATCTTGGGATTTCGTTCTGCAAATTGACAAAATAATTTATTATCTCAACTTCATGTGAGTAAACACATAACACTACATAATCACAATATGCAAATGTATGCTGTATGTATCAAGCTTCTAAACGAATTCCTTATAAATTTCATGCAGCAAAATCCAAGTTTTAGTAAGGATTCACATCAAAATGTATCTCAGGTTAGAGAGAGACTTGTTTGCTTGATGTTTATAGAAATATTAAGCATATGGATCAAGCACAATAGCACTTTTATGAAAAAATAAACTCTTTGCAAATACTTGAAAGTGGCAAGGCTCCATTGATTCTTTTAAACATTGGAGCTGTTCATTGGAGTTCACAGCAATCCAAGAGGTAAACACACACATACAAATGAAGTACTAGAAAGAAAGAAATCAAGAAATGGTAGAAAAAAGAATGTCAAAAGGAAGTAATTTTTTCTTGAGAGATCCCATGCAAAAGCTAAGTTGAAATATTAAAGATTGAGTTATGTAACCCCACCACCTCCAATGAATGACCCTAGCCTAGTGCAAACTAATACTAGATTCATGACCAAAATCAAAATGGTGCTTTCTATGGGTGAAGCTCTTATGGGCTTTTGTAGACTCCCTTTTTGGTTTGCTTAAGTAGAACTGTAAGTGATTGAAATGATAGTGAATATACCTAGAATATGTTTGAATATTTTATGATTTTACAATCTAATGGTTATATTCATCTAGAATAATTTTATATTTATAATTTATAAACATATTTATAATGTATAAAATTTCCTAAACACTTTCTAGTACATTCTAGTATATTCTACCATCTAATGGTTAAGCTTAATATTATGTTTATAAATTATAACCATTTATAAAATTATATTTGATCAATTGGATTAATAAATAGGAATAACACTACTATTAAATAAACAAAAAATGCACAGCAATTTTTTTATTTTTAGTTTCTTGCACTAAATTTTGGTTTTGAATTGAACTGGTGGTCTTCATACATTACCAGCTTAAATCATCTCTAAATGGATTGTAAAATTTTCTTGCTATAGCATTAGTGGTAAACAAGATTATTAATAATAAATATTGATTATAAGAGAAGTGTTTAAGAGCATAAATCACAACCGTTGGATTAAGAATATTTTAAATATTCTTGACTAACCCTAAATCATAAATTTAAAGAACAATCTTAGCAGAAAGAGGTGGATCTTCGTCAGGCCTTCATGCCATCCTGGGGCTTCCTTTACTTTCATAACTCGCGGCCAAGCAGCCCGTGTTCGCTCAGAGAGATCTTCCAGCCAGCTAACAAAATCCCATTTTATACCCAGATCTAGCAGAATTATTTGTGTTCGCTCCTCATATTCTTTATGGAACATTTACATCACTTGTTTATAAGGAGGAAAGTTAGCATCGAATTTACAAAGATGTGATGAACAGCCAGTCAGACAAGGAACAGACTACCACTCCCCGTTAGATTAGAGTCCACATCGACCGTTCCTCGTTGTCCTACGCTAGCTAGCACCGACTAAACAAAGCCCAAAACCAAAGCTGTGTGTATTCCACTGAGAAGTTCTTCCAGCCCCTCCCCAGGTTACCCAAAATTTTTCCAGCATCATCACCCCAAAGCTGCTATCTGCCTAGTAGACTTGGAGTAGCCCAGGAAAGCCTGTTTTGTCACCACAAAGTCTCCAGGAAATCACCAAACCTGGTAGCGACACCGCCACGGAAGGATGAATCATGGATCCAAGTTAGCTGCTGAGCGGATCACCGATTCGATCAAGCGGTCAACCCCGGTCGATCTAGCAAGGCCAAAGTTTTTGCCTGTTTGAGGCAACCCAACTCAAAGATCACGATCACTCAACAAAGTACCTCCGACAAGAGCCTGTACCGTCTCCCAACACCGGCTTTGGATGGAGAGAACTGGAAACCGTGGCTATAACCCGGGCTCATCGGTGGCTTCGAGTGACCTGGGGTAGCTGCGTTGCAAGTGGGCGATTTTAGCTTGTGGTGGTGATGGCTCTTGAGAAGCTCCTGCTGTTCCTGGTGATGATCCTGCTTGGACATGTCCAGATCTGAGCACCTCTTCCTCTTGTGGACCAGCGGCTTGGGCTTGATCTCTCTACCTGGGGGAATCACTACATTTGCCTCGCTACACGGCGATCCTTCCTTCCTGGCCTGCTTCTTCACACTAAACTTCTCTAGGTTCTCCGCGGCCTGCAGTAGGCAATCCAGCGGGCTCTGGACGCTCGACCGTGTGGCGGTCACACTGCCGGGCGCCTTGAATCCATCAACCGCCTGTTCCTGCTGGTGCCCATCTCTATCTCTCCTCGGCTGCTTCGATACACACCAGTCGCACATCATCTGGCTGGAATCCGGCGGCAACTTGGGGTACAAGCTACTGCAGTACCTGGAAGAACAAGAAACCAAACCGTAATCTCTCGAAATTTCCTTCTAGCGATGGATTTACCTGTGCTGGTAGCGCTGCCGGCACGACGAACAGCGGAAGAGCTCCTTCTGGAATCCAACATCGCCGCACATACTGCACTCCTTGCCGCTAGGCCGACAATGCCTGGCCGCCTGGTGCTGCTGATGCTGCCGCTGCTGCGGCCGCTCCATTGCGCTCCCTCGATCCGAGGGATTCCACCTACGAAACCCTCGCTCCAAAATCCCGCGGCCAAATCACACGCCTCTAGATCCCAAACCCCGCCGCGGCTTGTGCGCGTGGGAATCCGATCCCTATCGCGTCGATTCCCTGGAAAAAGACGCTCGATTCCTGAGAGATCGCCAAGAACAAAAAATGCGAGTCACTAACACACGAGAGAACAAGATCAGCACAAAAACAAAACAAGCCGCCTTTATATATTCAATCGTTCGTAGCTCACACTCATACGCCGTATTATCGAATATTCGTCTCCCAGACTGACGGGTTGGAAATTTCTAGAAGGTCGCAGTGAGATAAAAGCCGGCACGTCATTGACGTGCTATACGGTGTCCAATTTGTGACCGCCCGTACATTTAAGGCCCAAAAGCTCAAAATGTCGGTTGATGGCCAAGTGGCGTCATCACATCCACTAGAAAAATGACAGGTGGCAATGACCAATACGTGCTACGTGGCGTACGGGCCCGGTTCGCGAAACGAACATTCGCTGATTCGCTTTATTGGATTCCGTTGATCGTGACCGTTCGCGGTCTAGGGCTCTTGGCAATGAGGCTCAACTTGGAATTCAAGTAAGCGCGGTTTTGTGTTGTGCGGGGTTGTCAAAGTGGGCGCATTCCAGGGGAGGATTGGAGCTACTGTTTGGATCTGTCAAGTGCCACGAAGTGGAATTGGATTCGAACGAGGTAGGAATCGAAACTTTTGAGTCTTTGGCCACCAAGTTCTTCCTTTGTAGATCACAGTCGAGAAGCTCCTGGTTTGGATTCGAGAAAATCTGCTCAAGGAGAGACAAGAGATGTTCCTCAAAGGCAAATCCGTGTGAGTTTCTCACTGCTAAACTCTCGCTTGGATTCTCACGGTTGCATTTCTCCAGGAGGCCCGGAGTTCTCGTTTTGATCAATGACTACGACTGGGAGCTCATGGGGCATTTGGAAGCGCCCATCAAGGACAAAGACAGTGTAGTGTTCATCTCGACGCTCCACGGAGGCTAGAAAACTCCTCCTTTGTTTTCCCTGATCTTAACATGGGTGAATGGGCCATGCAAAGTTCTCCATCTCTCCTCACCACGTAGAACGATTCGTCCACTCCTCGACGCGGCAATCCTACTCGCACTACGCCCAGATCATCAAGTCGTGCGCCACGGTCCAGGATCTCCTGCGCGTCCACTCTCAACTCGAGCACAACTCCTGCAATCTCGTCGCGAATCTCCTCATCGACAAGTATGGCAGATTCGGCTGCGTCGCGGAGGCCAAATTGGTGTTCGACGCGATCGCCCAACCGGGAATTCACTCGTGGAACATCATCACGGCAGCGTATGCCCGAAATGGGCATCTCGATCACGCCGCGCGCCTCTTCGACGTCATGCCGCGGAGGGATGTTGTGTCGTGGACGTCGCTCTTGTCAGGATTTTCGCAGTACAATTGTCCCGAAGAGGCCATCCGAGTTTTTCTCTCGATGCCTCAGTGGGACGTCGTCGCGTGTAATCCTGCCATTGCAGCTTATGCCCAATATGGGCATATTTTCGACGCCGTTGAAATCTTTGCGCGAATGTCTTACAGAGACATTGCGTCGTGGAACGCAATCCTCGCAGCTTACAGTGAGTCTTCTCAGGTCTTGAACGTTAACGCTTTTTCAGCGCTGATGCCAATGTGGGATGCCATCTCGACAAACACTGTTCTTACAGCAAATGCCACAGCCGGGTATCTCGAACGTGCGAAGTGTATCTTTGATCGTTCGAGTTTTCGAGATGTGATTTCCTGGACAGCGCTTGTTCAGGCCTACGCCCTTAACGAAAACATGGATCATGGGGACTTGGTATTTAGAAAGATGCCACATTGGAACTCAATTACCTGGAGCATTCTCACCACAGCAAATGCCCAACAAGGGGATGTTCTTGCAGTGAAAAAACTATTTGACACCGCTCCATTGCGCGACGAAGGAATGTGGACGAACCTCATCACAGTCCTCGCATCGACAGGAAAGCTTGCCGATGCCGTCGATTCAATGTCCCGGATTCCGGATTGGAATGTCCTGGTAATGACGACTCTGATGACGGCGTATTCCGGTGCGGGAAGAGTCCGGGACGCGAGGAAGGTTTTCGATGCCATCCATTGCCGCGACATTACGTCTTGGAATGCCATGGTTGCGGCTTTCCTGCAAAACGACGAGCTCGAGAATGGAACTAGCGTCTTTTGGCAAATGCCGCAGCACAACGTCTGCTCGTGCACGGCGGTTGCGGCTGCGCATGGCGACGCGGGCGATCTCCACTCGTCGGAGGCGATCTTCGCCGCCATCCCGGAGAAGGACACTGTGGCCTGGAACGCGATGATCTGGGCTTACGTCTCCAATGGGGATCTCCAGACGGGCAAGGCGATCTTCGATTCTATGCCGCGCAGGGGCTCCAGCTCCTGGGACACGATGATCGCAGCCTTCGCCCAGGGAGGAGAGATCTCTCTGGCGAGCGAGACCCTGGTCAAGATCCCCAGATCAAGCGTTCTCTCCTGGACGTCGCTCCTCGCCGGGCATGCCCAGGCCACCGAGCTCGACAAGGCCATGGCGGTCTTCCACGCTATGAAGCAGCGAAACGACGTAAGCTGGAACGCTGTTCTCGCGGCGTATGCTCAGGCTGGGGAGATCGAGGACGCGCGGGCGATCTTCGCCAAGATGCCCCAGCTGGGCATTGCGTCATGGGCGGCGATCGTCGTCGCCTTGGTGAGAAACCGCGACCTCGCCTCCGCGAAGGCGGCATTCGATGGAATGCCCGAGCACGATGTCTTTGCCTGGAACTGCCTCTTGCGGGCATACGCCTCCAACGGCTTTGTGGCGGATGCCCTAGACCTCTTCAGCCGAATGACCGTTAAAAACCCAGCGTCCTGGGCCGCCGTACTCGCCTCGTGCGCCTACAACAACATGGGGCGAGACGCCGTACGGCTCTTCCGGCTCATGGTGCTCGACGGCCACCGTCCGGACGGTACGGCATTCTCGGCTGTGCTGACGGGCTGCGGCCACGCGGGCATGCTCGAGGAGGGGCGGCGGTACTTTTGGGCCATCTCCGAGTCGTACGGCGTGACGCCCGCGGTAGAGCACTACAGCTGCGTCGTCAACCTGTTGGGGCGGTCGCGGCGCCTGGCGGACGCCGAGGAGCTCGTCGACTCCATGCCGCTGTGCCCCCAGGTCTCGACGTGGTCCGTGCTGCTCGGCGTGGCGGGGATATCCGGTGACGTGCGCCGCGCGGAGCGTGCCGCCGAGGAGATCGCGCGGCTCAGCCCCTGCGCCCACTCGCCTTACGTGCTCCTCTCCAATGTGCTCAGCTCGGACGGATGATCCATTAAAGAAGGGTTTAAGTCGGGTTTTAAAAAAATTAAAGATCATAATTAACTATGAAGAATGATAACAAACGTGGATAGATCTAGCGAGCTTCCACTCAGTTTTAGCCAAGAATGATATAAAACGTGGATAGATCTAGCCAGCTTGGAAATTGCTAATGATAAAGTATATTGTTAAATGTAATACTTTTATATCATCATGTCTGAATTTAAAATTGTGAACTTAGTGGAACACAATGAGGTATGATCGTGGAAGAAAGAACCATCAATTCGTTTTTCTTCCAGCTCTAACGGACTTGGATAGATTTAGCCAGCTTCCACCTATGGATTGGAAAGCACAACTAAGTTTTAGCTGACAACGCGTATCCAAAAGTTACCAAGTTACTCTTACCAAGTATCCACCGCCGGATCCCTGGATCCAAGTGATCGAGATACAGTGTACACTAGCAGAGAACCTCCCCCCTACGGTTAAAAGGACGAGCGAGTCACTGTAAAAAGAAAGGAAGATATTCGTAGCACAGCCGAGAGATGGTTCCATTTCGAATGGGTGACGAGTGAGCGAGTACACGTACACACCAGCGATTAGTACGGCAATGATAAGCGCCACCTTTGTTTGAAAGAAAGCTTGTTTGTTCTTACCTGGAGAGAGAGAGCTTCTTCCCAGTCCGTTGCATTTGGAAATCCGGTTGATGATAGCAAATCGGTGTCGCTGTCCAGGCAAAGAGCAGTCAGTTTGGCGGTATATAAGAAACGAGAACGAACTTTGTCTCCGCTTAAGTTACCTCCAGTGTTGGCTTTGCTCTCGCTCGTCTTGTTCTTGTCTCTCTTCTTCCAGCTCCTCGTCGAGCGAGCAATGGAGGCTTGCGCCTGTTCTTACTCGCTCCAAGCTGTCGTCCATGGCGAATCGTCGAAGATTTTCTGTTGCTGTTCTTGTTCTCCTCCTCCTCTTGTTTCTCCTCCTCCTTCCCCTGGCTTCGCTCACTTCCCAGCATCTGTTCTTGGTGTTCTTGAGGAGCCCCAGGCCCAGGAAGTCGATTTTGACTGCTCCAGCGAGTTCTTCCTCGTCGACCAGTTACTGGCTGCTACTGCGTCGTGCTCGGCGGATTTCTGCTCGTTTCTTGATTCTGCTGCTACTGAGCTCGCCACCGTCTGCTACTCCAGCTTCACGGGCGATTCCATCGCTTCCACGGACGGTGACGCAGTGATCGGGCACGAATGCTGGAAGGAACTGCTCAAAGAGGAGGAGCAGCAGCCTCCGCAGAAGGTTGAGCCAGAGCCAGTGAAGGCGGAGCCTGGGAGGACAGAGTCCCGGCAAGGCGATGATCCGGTGGTGCAAGACGATGATCCGGTGGTGGCAGACGACGAGCAGCTCAAGAGGTACGTGAAAGTCCTTCCATCTAGCTGCTCTCGCGCTTGCTCAGCATATTCTTTGCTCATCTCGTGCTAGGAAGTGGGAATTCCAGGCCGGGCTTAAGCGTGCGCTCAAGAACAACCAGGTCATCGACGTCGATGCTCTGGCAGAGGTCAAGGTGAGCAGCGTATAGTTAGTTTGCTGGGAAAGAAAGAAAAAAATCGAAGCTTACCTTGAATTATTGGAGCAGACAGAGAAGGACGAGAACGAGGACAGGCTTCCAGGCCTCCGAGAGTATATCGGGAAGAGGAGCTGCGAAGAAACTGAGAACAGCATTTGCAAGAGAGTCAGAAAAGCCCACTCGAACGATGCCGCTCTCGTGGATGCTCTACGACTGAGAAACGCAAGAATGGAGTTACCAGAGGCTGTCCGGGGCTTCCAAATCGAGGAGGCCGATATCTACGCGACGCATCCCGCTTTCCTACTGCGAAATTCTCCAGGCGAGTTCTAGAAAATTTCTTCTTTGAGATAGTTTTGATCGATCTTACTGTGCCTTGTTTCCAGGAGGAACGCGATATCTCTTCGCTAGGACGAAGTACTCCTCACGGCCGGCGCGATCGAGAACGACACTGGATGGATGCCGCTGGAAGCAGCAGGGCCCGTCCCTGCCGATCAAGATCGACGACGAAGTCGTGGCATACAAGACCTACCTCAGCTTCGTGCCGCTCAAGGATCACGAATCCTACGCGCCGATGCTCTGCGCCACTAACATAGCCGGATTCCTGCTGCGGCGAGCGGCGGGATTGCGGAGATTTGCGCGCTACACCATGGAAGAGATCGTGCTCAAGGAAGACCGCGAGATGGAGCTGCGCAAGCTCAAGAAATGCCGGATCCCCCGCCCCTTTCGTGTGCTGTGTAGAATCAGCACCCGGCTGCCCGGCCATTCGTGGCTGTGAGGCCGAGAAATCGAATTCCTCTTTCCCTCGCGGTGGAAGAACCCTAAACTCTCGAAGGTGCTGGGGAGGGGAATCGAGCCCGCGACGGCTCCTCTAGCCACCACGTGGTCAACTCCCATTGCTCCGGGCATTGTGGACCTGGTCCAGCTCCGCCACGCCGCCCTAGGCGACAGGAAATGCGAGGGAGCGATGCGCGGCTGATCCATCAGGTACTTCCAGCGCGATTCCATCGTCC